ACATTTAAATCTGTGTTATGTACAGAGGTACAGAATTGATAATTGATAAGAAAAACTTTTGTTATCAAAGGTATGATGTTAGGGGCACTTATGTGTGAAGGCAGGGAGGTAAGGTTAGGACGGTTATCGTTTCGTTCAAGGACAACTTATTCATGCTTTGAAATAACCCCTCAATATAGTTGAATTAAATGTTTTGCTAAATATTTATATGATATCGTAAAAGAGCTTCCGTACATTGTCCCAGTGTAAAAGTAAGCCTTCAATTGTTTAAGTCAGCACTCCTCGCAAAAGTCAATTTTACACAAAGATTACTAAAGGTCTGAAAGTATTTCATGAACTTAACCCAAGACCATTATTGCAAGTTCTATGTCACTGAAGGAAAAAAAAATCATGATTCTTGTTCGGTCAATATCTTTCTTATGGATAAACTTGGTGAGTTCTTTTTTTACACAAAGGTTGCGTATGACTTAAGGGTGTGTGGTGACCTTGACCAGAAGTCATTTGGGCAAGTTCAAGGTCACTGAAACAAAAAAATTCCTTACTCGCGTCCAGTCTTTTTTCTTTCTTATGGATGAACTTGGAGAGGTCCAACTTTACTCAACCAATGCTTATGACCCGGGGGATTATCATGACATTGACTGAAAGTTGGCACATTCACGGTCACTGAAAGAAAAAGTGCATAATTTGTGTCCCGTGCATATTTTTAGAACAGATTTTTTTAGTTTCTATTTTACATCAAGATTGCTTTTGACATGACGGTGTGTCTTGACCTTGACCCAAAGTAATTTTGGCAAGTTCAAAGTCATTGAAGGAAATAGTGTATTTTGTGTCTGGTGCCTATTTTTAGAAATGATTATTTTCTTTTTAGGTTGCAACTTAGTTTCATTCATTAAAAGTATAGAGAACAATAAAACTTTTACCCCAAATGTTTCATCAAATTGGGAACACCTCTCACATTCATAAAATATCTACGTTTTGGCATCTCCTATGAAAACCCAGCGGGGGGGGGTGTACCTTCTGGACAGTTTTAATTAAGTTCTACTAAAGGGGCTGGGTGGTTGTGGCCATTTTTAGACTATTTTGATCTCCTTTGGAAGAAGAGCTCCATATAAGGATATAACAAAATGATCAAATTTTAAAACTAAAATTCATGAAATTTTTCTTTGCCAAATGACAGTTGACAGCTTTTAAAAGATACCATATCCAAAAATTTACGTTATATCTGGTGGCTAATGGAAAAAAAAATATTTGTTGACCCCCCTAGCCTTCTTAAAGAAATTTTTCTACATTAATACCCCTTTTTTCATTGGTTTTAGCTCGTTGGATCCCCTTTTCATATCAATCGTTGTCATCATTGATCGTCAAGCATCCAGATTTCTTGTGAATTTATTTACAAATATGATATAGAAATCTGCTTTTACGAAATTTATAATCCAAATTCATAAAACAACCTTTCACTTTTCCATTTCCATACAACTAAAAAAAAATGGTTATCGAGATGAAATATGCATGTGTATATGTCTTTAACCTTTCATTCAGTATTGGTGCATTTTAAGAAAAATTTAATTCCGACGAATACGTATATATATCCAATGAGTTGATAATTTCTTATTTGATACGTGTCTATGATACAGAAATAGTAATCTACTTTTATTAATTGTTTATTTAAATTTGATTCACTTGTTTTGCAGTACTGTAGTATTTAATTTTCATGCAATTTTAAAAAAAAATCAAAAATTAACAAAAAGAACTATAAATATGACAAGATTAAATGTTTTCATTGTATTTAATTTTAATTTGTTGTTTATATAATTTGGATTTTAACGCATTTGCAATCCCCCAATGGATACCAAAATCAGTATTTTTTTGTTTTGCACTTTATCCCATTATAAATGAACTAAGTGGTTTTTAAAAGCGTTTAATTTATACTTTATTTTTTCCATATTGTGTTTTGTATATTTGAATAAAATTACAAAATTTTCCAACGAGGAAACAAACATCCAAAAACCTGCTCTGCTTATCGTCGAAAGCAGCATGAAATAAGATATAAGTACAAATGATACATTTGACTAATGCTCTGAGTACACGGCGGTCCCTTTGTGCTCTGAAATGCTATGTTCGGGGATCACACTGTAATTTATATATCTGTATTTTAAATAGAAGCATGAGCAAACTTTTTAGACATTATGTGAGAACGTTACATACATGTAACACAAGCCTCCTGGTACATGTACCGTTTCCAAATGCGACGATTCACTCTACACCGACCCCCAATGCATGCTATTCAAATTAATGGATTTATGGATTCGTCGGTGAACAGTCCTGTAGAGTGAATCATAGATGTGGTCCACACCAAGCTTGTCTAGCGATACGATGACATCTAAGCAGTATCGGGCGCACAGCCGAACGTCTTGGTCTGATGTTACGCACAGTTCCTGGAGTGGTTGGTCGAAGTCCACGAATGCTGCGAGCAATCAAACTTGCTGTTTTGAACCGATTGCTCAGGTGCACAAGTCGACTTGATGTCATGCGAGGACGCCCAGAATGTGAGCGATCCCGAGTGATACCAGATTTTAAAAATAAAAACATGTCCTTAATGACTGGATGGTGTTCTGATGAACTCTAAAGTATGTTTCAACGATATCTTGTTACAAATTGCAAGCTACGGATATAACTGCATATGGGAATTTGTAACACACACCTGCTAAGAATTGATATTTTTCAAAATTCCAAACCTTTTTCATAACAAAGTTATGCTTAAATTTATTCAAAGCTGACAAGGACAGACAGAGGGCTGAAAAATGTTTCTTTCTAAAAATAATGGAATAGACGCTTTTTTGGTTTCATTACATTGTCTTTTTTCTGAAATTTCCTGTGTATATCGTGATAGTTTTGATACATATTATCACATGTATCAGATATAAAGTGAGAGAATAAATTTAAAATTGATCCCAGGTTCGAAAATATTGTATATGTGTAATATATACTAGAAATAATGGCATTGATAGGAATCCAGTATTTTACTTTTGTAAAATATATATTCATCTATATATCCCACCTGACACGAAACGTTGTTTCAAAGCGGAAACTTTACATGATAAAGAACTGGCAAGAAAATGAATCTAACTGGAAGTTTTCTTTCTTTATTACATAGATTTCAATCAAATAATTACTTATTCAAAAAAATTATTAAATAAAGAATTTTACGAGACGGAAATTTTCGATAACAAATTGACATTTGGTATCCGTTTTCTATTTCCATTTGAAACAAAAACAAATATATTTTAAAATGTATTGAAACTGTTATAGCAAGATCATTTTTTGCAATTTCATTGAGGAAAATCCCTTTTTAAAAAATTGTTATTGGCAGAAGCCATTCACTCCTTCTCTCAGATTGCCCAATTAATTGTTTTACAAAAAAGCACGCATTTAAAACTTTTTAGATATAATATCATTTATTGTGTTGTTCGTTTTACTCTCTATGTTTTAACACGGTGCTTGCATCTATATATGTGTGTATATCTCTTTGAATAATCAGTAAATTTACTTATCGATATTCTTGAAAATTTATTTACTAATTTTTTTTTTTCGTTTGTTTATAAAAAGAGCCATAATGTATTAATGATATACTATATAAATATTTCATTACTGTTGAATTTTCTAAAAGTGTACACCAATCACCTTTCTTCTTCATTTATCTAATACTGCAGAGGAAAATAAAAACAATTAGACCATATCCAGACGCGGAAAATCCCAACAACAAAAAGACAAATATTTTGGAAAGGTCCATGGTATCGTTCAAATGATCAAATAAGACAAAATGTTTTCCGTTGTATTCTCTCTGATTTCATGCAATGGACAATGTAACGATAGCCTTATTATTTAGGTTTTCCCTTTCTTTTTAAGCAAGATGGAGGTATTCTATCTCTAATTTATCGTGAATGGAAATGGGCGGCGATAACTTTTTTTCCCAATTTGATATCTTTTGTTTAACTAATATTGAAAAACTGAGATAAATTCTCCTTTCAGTCGCAAATCATGTCTGGAAGAAATTATATTATTAATAGTAATTCGAAACTTTTTTCACATTAGTTAAATCATTTAATTGTTGATGCTATGGAAAGCCAAAAACATTTACTAAAGTTCAAAGAAGAAAGGAATTACGAGAAAAATTTCTGTTTACAGCTGGTTATAAAATTTAAACATTCAAAAGAAAGAAATGGATCAAACCAAAAATAAAATTATCTTAAAAATAAAACTAAATAAAAGTCTCAAAGTCAAGGAAGAATACAACTGCGAAATCCAAATCAAAAAATTAATTTCGATTAAATTCTTGTTTCGAAGTACAATTACCAGAAAAAGAAAGAACACGGGTAATGTTCAATACAAACTGACACTGTATTTTTCTTTAATATGGAAGTGATCTGACCTCCTAAATGCTAATTGTAACGTCATAAATCACTGAATTTTTCAAATGCATGTTTTCTTAAAAAGTTGCAGAAGAAATGAATTTTTAGTTCCTTTTTTTTTCCTCATAATAAAAAGCACATGCATAGCCTACACAAATTTTAAGAAATGTGATTTCATTAAGGATTTTACACAACATATCTGAAAATTAATGTGGGCCACGCCTGATGACACTGTTTTTTAAAGGGAAAGAACCCTGTAATTAATGAGTCATTTTCAGGCTTTTCTGTTTAAACTAATAAATGTACGAAGTTGATGACGTCATATTTCCAAAATAGTCCTCCTTTATATAGTTTTCAATTTCATATCTTTTTGAAAACATTAAATTTTAAGGGCATAATAAAAACCAAACAGTACCTTCTTCTTAAAACGGATTAGATTACAGTAAGTTGGAATTTACAATTTAAAGAATGAAGATGATGGCGTTATCTTACTAAATGGGCATACATGAGACTGCTGCATTCAAACCCTTCATGTAATCAGTTTAAAATGATCATATGCTTGTATACTGTTATTTTATTTCTATGCCGTCGTATACGTTGAAAACACATAGTTTTTATACAATAATATGAAAATATCTGTAATTGGTATCAAATAAATAAAATAAATAATCAAAATTGAAAAGACATATGTACATGATATCTTTCAGATTGTTTGCAATGAAGATGAGTTTCCCATTGTAATTTCTTTTATGTTGGATAGTATACCTGTTGTTCATGGAATTACATACTTTTTTAAACATTTATTTCAGACATTAAGGAAGCGAAGCGGATTATAAAAAAAGCGTAAACTGACCCAAGCCAGGTTATAATCGAACAATTTGCCCAAGAATTAGAGTCATTCCTTAAATAATGTGTTCCGATAAGCGCAATAATTTTAAGATACAGGAAAATTTTCATATGAGGGCATGTCACTTGCAGCATCAAGTTCTAAGTATTTAGGAATCTCATCCTCTTTTTGCGGCGGAGGTGAATGTTTGACAAAACGATTATCTTTCAGTGTTGATTTACTCAATTTTTCCTTTACATCAAAGCATTTTTTCAGGAAATAGCGTGAATTTTTAGACTTAGTCAACGTGTCATATGAAGGCGTGTTGCCGGAAGCTTCAAGTTCAAAATAATCAGGTTTTTCATCTTCTCTCTTCGGAGGTGAATTTTCAATAATTGCGGTTTTCAGTATTAATTTTCTCCCCTTTACCCTGATAACAAAACTGAGTCGCTGCCTGTAAGAGATAATGTATATTATCATTAAACTGGATAGCAAGTTGATTCAAAATAACATGGGGTCACTTTAAGCTTGAATGACGGCTCTAAGAATCAAAGATTCCTGAAAATTAAATAAAAGTATTTCGAAACTAACGTATAGCTTTAAGAATGTCTCTTAGATTATAATACTGTTCTACAGTCCATAAAATGACAATTCATTTACAAAGAAAACACATAAGAGGAAAGAGAAGTCGTAAAACTTTGATTTTTCTTAATGTTATAGTCTTTGAAACTTAAATAAAATATGGTTTGATATGTTTTGCTGGAAACATTCACTGCATGAAAAGTCGCGTTTAATATAATTTAATAAATTCGTTTACTCCAGTAAATTTCTTGTATTGAATTTAATTTATGTATAACGGTACATTTTACATGAGATATATTGTGATATAATTAAATACAGTTTTCAAATAAGTATAATCATATTTAATGCAAAATACGTCGAGAATAATATAGTTTAATTGAGATAATTATACGTTCCGTTTAAGAATATCGACATGTAAAAGTAAATATGCTTATACTTAAAGTTTAAGTACATTTTTGGTATTTTGAATATGTCATAAATAATTCTTTATACCTAATGTAAACTTATGTTGAAACATTTTTGAAAAAAAATATTTAGGCACCCTATTCATTTTAATTTATTTATTTCTCATTTTTATTTATTTACCCTTATGTAGATTTTTCAAAACTGTGGAATATAACTTAGTTTTTTCTCTATCGACTACCACTGTAGTACAATTACATCGGGATCGAAGTCGGGCTCGAAAAGCAATTTATTTAAAAACAACACACCGCGCCGAAATTCAATTTTTTGGAGAGTTCCACGCAGCCATGTTGAACTTGATCATGATGTTGTACGGGAGGAAGGGGCGAAAGAGAGTTACTCGAAAAGGAGAAGCATGATAAACTTTGGATGGAATTTATGTTTTAACAGAAGATGAAGACATTTACGACCCTGTTTAGCGGTAGGAACAATGTACAAAATTTTATCATGTGTCCTTGAATGAATAATTGCCTCTGCTACTGATAATGTTACTGTTCCTTAGTCTGGACTGTACACATAAAATGCCTGGCAGTAAAAACGTTTGGGCAAGCGCTATTTACATTTTGTAATAATTATTTAACACTTTTAACCATCTAACTTAAAGATGGATTTTAACCAGAATTTTCTCGTTTGGGATTGGTTTCAGAATTTTTTGTCACTAAAGTGTTCCTCTGTTCAGCATTTACAGAGAGTGTTGTACAATGTAATAAATTATTTATTTATTTCTTAATGCCTACTCAAGAATATATTGAGCACTTATTTTGATTATTTAAATAGTTGCAGTGTGGACTGTGCCTGAGACGATTTCCCATAACGCAGGCTATGTAGACAGCTTGTGAAAATGGTGAGAACCATACCGCTCAAATTTTCTATTATCACAAATAAACAAACAATGTTTTTATTAACTTGTATCTTTTAGCATAAGAGTATAAAAAATATTGCAACAACTTGAAATGCTATATACCAAGTAGACAATACGAGGTTTATATTCTTATTTTCCTTATCCTAAAAATACAATAGCAATGGATTCTGAGCTATGCATAATTTTTTTACGTTAAATACGTAGGCATGAATTATTAAAAATAGCTATCACATTCTATGATGCACAATTATGCATGCATTATTTACAGGAATCCAAATGCTCACAAGAAATGACAAAAGCAGTATGAAGATTAACACAACGGTAAGATTTCTTAAATTTTCTGATAAGATCAATAAAATCACATGAATTGATTTATTTTAGCTCACCTGAGCCATTTTAAGACCCGAGCGAGTTTTCTGTTCTGTGTCTGGTATTCGTCGGTCATCTATAAACTTTTCAAATTTTTACATTCATGAGAATTATTCCTAGTTTGAATAAAAATCCCTGCAAGATACATCTTTTCTTTCAGAAATTGTGCCAGAAAAGTTTGAAGTAGCTATGGGAATGATCAACATTAAACTTGCTGAGGCTCTCTTCCTGAAAGTGACTTGACCAGATATTTGGCTATCCAGTATGAGGTACGAACTAATCATTTGTTGTACAACTTATTGTGTATGAGATTGCCACCATTTACTGGAAGTTTGCATTTGTTGTTCACTTTAAAAACTTGCTATCTACAGTGTAAGTTGTTAATATATTTTACTTTATGTTAAATCACTTGTTCATTATCCCAATAACTTGCATGTTAAATGCTGTAGATGCTAACCTTTGCATTTAAGTTTACTCTTAAATTCCATGTGTTCCGAGTATGTACACCCATTTCATATCATGTTTTGTCGTCTCTAAATTTAATATAATACATATCATAATATGTACTAGATCACAAAGTTTGAGGATTTTATTATTGTATGAATGTTATCTACTTGCTCTATATCATAAATACATCTGTTTGTATATTTTTTCTATGAGATGCCATACCTGCTTTTAATTTTTCATATTTTTTTTTATCCATAGTATCTTTCTGCTACATTAAATAAAATATCGTGGAGGAACACGAAGAAAAGGGCTGCGCACCTCAACATATTCAAGGTCAAGCAGGTAAATACATTGGTAAATTGCTAAAAAAAAAAAAAAAAAAAGATGGCAAAAAGTCACCAGTCCCCAATTTACATGTACTTCCACAAATTCTGCAGCTTGCTGCTGTGAAACTATATATATGTGTTTCTTAATATGATAAATGCTGTAAATGCTATTCTTTGCATTTTCCTAAACTTTGTAAATCTTCAAATTCCATGTGCTCGGACTACGGTACCATTATGTATGTTTCATATCATATTTTGTCGTCTATAAATTTGATCTATACATATAATTATATGTTTTTTTATGCAATTCACTTAACTAGATGACACAGAGAATTTTTTTCATTGTGTAAAATGTTATCTTCTTGCCGTAGTCATGTTAGTCATAAGTATACCCTGTTTGTATATTTTTTCTCCTTTTTTGTATATTCTTTCTATGGAGAGCCACACCTGTTATTAATTTTTCATATTTTGTTTATCAAAGCTTTTTACCATATCCATAGTATCTTGCTGCTAAATGAAAGAATTAGTGTGGAGGAGCAGAGAAAAGGGCACCTCAACATGTTCAAGGTCAAGCAGGTAAAATGCTCCAAAAAAAAAAAGATGGTGAAAAAAATCATTAGTCCCAAATTTACACGCTTCGAAATCTGTAGCTCGCTGGCCTGAAATTATAGATAATTATCTGTCTTTATTACCCAGATTTGAAAAAAATGGCATATTTTTTGTAGTCGTCTGTAAATTTTTAATTAAGCAAAATTGAGCTGTGTTTCCTCTAGGTCAAATGATAATTTTAAAATCAACTCAGATTTTGTTTTTACTATTTAACATATGCAATTGCATAAATCCGGAAGCACACATATAATATGTATATATAGGCAAATGGGTATTTATTTTTATGTTTATTGTAGAAATTAGGAGCTAGGTGTGCTTCTCCAGAGCTGAAAACTTCTTGGCATGAAGAGAAGAAGAAGCAAGAAAAGCAGTTTTAAATATTGTTTACGTCTTCATAGTACAAAAAATGATTCTAAAGATAATATTATCTATGAAATTAGAAAGCTGAAGTTGCGTTCTAATGATTGTGAGAATGTCTTCAAAGAACAGGACACCAAAAGTGCCATTCTCAAATCAAAGCACTCTAAAAGGCAGAGCATAAGAAGAACAAGGACAAATAAAGAATCTAAAAGAGTCAAACCTATGGATGTATTAATTGAACAAAGATGGGCTATTAGAGATGAAATATCTGAGTTGCTACTGTTTTGCACAAATTCAATGTTAGATAAGAAAAATATACCTAGTGTTGTATTTTTGACAGTGAAAGTTTTTTCTTATGCTTGATTACAGATTAAAACTGTTATGTATTTTATTGTTTAAACATTTATTGGTTTGTTGTGTAATCTGCAATCACATACATTTTGATCTCGATTTATATATCACATATATGTACAAGTCTAACTTAAATAATAAGTGCATGGACATTATTGTGGAAAAAATAAGACAATTATGATCAAGGGTAGTCTGAAAGAGCTTTGCTGGCAGTAAGTTGCAGATCTTGATACCCAAGTAAGAGAAAGGTGGTGTCTCTGACCGATCCTTTTGCTGTTGCTTGTGGGCGAGTGAGGCTTCTCTGTCAGTGGCTTAGTGAGTCATAGATGTAAAAAAATAGAATAGGCAAATGAGGTAGAGACATTTCTGAGTAAAAAAGGGGTGAATTGTGATTTTAATGAATATTACAATTGATATTGCAAGAGTAATGAGAATTGCAAGAGTAAAATATTAATTTGTTTCCTTCCATTTGAAGTAAGAGAGTTTGTGAATTATGAGTTATGGAATTGTAATTAAGGCTTAAAAAAATGTTAAATATACTTTTACATATGTTTATACAGGACTTTTATATGTGCATGTTTCAGAGCTCATTTTTGATATTTTAAAGCAAAGTTGAAAATATCACTAATGAAATGTTTTGCATTCCAATGTAACGTTGATTTAATGAGGATATGTTATATTACAATCATCAAGCAATAAACCTAGCAGTTGGAACAGAAATGAGCTACATGTATTGTAAACAAATTTAAGCTGCTATTGTTTTGTGTAATTGTGATACTTTTTCCTTAATTTGAATTGACATAACCAAATGATATAAAGGGTTTTTTTGGGTCTTGTATTTTTCACAGTCAACATTAAGTATTTTTCAAGTTGAACTTGGATAATTAGTGCATGGACATCTATTGTGGAAATACTTGGAAAACAATATAAGGGTGGACTAAAAGAGCTTTACTGGCAGTAAGTTGCAGATCTTGATACCCAAGCAAGAGAAAGGTGGTGTCTCTGACCGATCCTTTTGCTGTTGCTTGTGGGCGAGTGAGGCTTCTCTGTTAGTGGCTTAGTGTGTCTTATTAAAATGTACATGTAAAAAGAATGGACAAATTTTATTGGCAACTTTTATTCTTTTTATGCAAAGTATGATATAATTTATTGTGGGAAATTGAAAAGCCATTTACAATCCATGCAGAAGTTTTAATAGGGGCAGTTTCAGTCAGTTTTTGCAGTCTTTTGGAGTCCAGAATGACTACATTTTTTACCTGTTGTGTTTTGATTTATTGCGGATTTGAATTTTACATACAATACTATTCTTTTATTATTTATAATTACTTCAGTATATTACTTACTACTAGTATGTAGAAATTATACCCAAGAATACCCAAGCACATTATAATTGAGCTACAATCTCGATTGTAAATTTTTTAATTCTGACTTTTAGGCTTAAATTTGAAATATTTTGTACTTTGTTAGAACTCATTGTTTGTACACTGTTGAGATAACATCTAATAAAATTGAATGAGAAATGGATTTGTGTAAGATTGTAAAATACTTGCCAAAAAACCCACAATTGTAAACCATACAAATTATTGATGGAATAAATGTAAAATAAAAATATTATGCAATAATATAATAATGTTAAATTTCATCAAATACAACCTTAAATCTTAATTATATGGGAAGGTTTAATCCGTACATTTTCATCACATATACAAGAAATTTAATATTAGTTTATGAAAGAATAAAATTTGTACGTATTAGTAAGTTTACAATTCTCCGTATATAACTTAATTTTTGGAAGTATTATAAAGTAAAGTGTGAATTTAACAAAAAATAATGAGGTAAAGATCTACGTTAAATTTTATTAAACGAACAAATTTAATGTGACCGTAAAACTTAATTTTATGGCCATGTTTAATAATAATTATACGTTTTGTATATTAGAGGTATAATAATTGTTTACGGCAGACTAAAATCCGAACGTATTAGTAAGTTTACATTTTCCAAACTTTATTAAATTTGTTCTTTTAATTTTTCATTAAACTCGTATTAAATGCTAATTATTTTCTAACATTTACGATCCCACAATATGTTATAATATGCATTTAAACATTAAATAATCGCAGCATTTAAATCACATTTAAGGTAAAATTAAACCCGACTTTTCATGCAGTGATTATACATATGTACCTGAAGAATATAAAGGAGACAGCTATCAAAGCAATGCATAATATTCCAATTACTATGGCAAATCCTACTGTTGATGTAGTTGTTGAAGTGTCGCCTAAAGGAAAAGAATTCGATACTTGAAGAAAAATAATATACAGTAATAACTGGATAATATGTTGCCAAAAGCAAGTTAAATGGCTCCCAGGGCGTTATTAGGGAATAAGGTTGCTAGAGGGCGACTAACTGTCCTAAAGTCTGGCAATAGGTGTTTAATACTACCACAGCAGATTTTGCTTGTATCCTGTCAGGATGCACATTGAAACCAGAACATTTCCGAATTGAAACATTAGGTAAATTGATTTTTACATGTGAATAATTCGATAAGTATTCTTTCATTTTTAAACTTCGATTGAAACATACCTATTCATCAAACAAGTACCCCGATCTAATTGAATGTGAATGTTTGAATTTTTTATTGACAATATATGTTTAATTTTTCAAGATTAGACCTGGGGGGCATAAAACTAAGCTATATAAGCTTATATTGGAACTTATCACTTTTTACCAAAGGAATTAATAGTTGAAAAGTGATACTGAAATCAAAGGTGAGCTCGATTAAGTTTTATGGCTCCAGGCCTATATCTTTGAATAATCTGATGTTGTTCCAATTGAATTCCCGCTGCCCGACGTTGTGCCGAGAAAAGGATGATAATATAAAATCATTCGCCGCACCCTTTGACATTTCATTGGTAGTAAAAAGGTCGTGCAATTGACATTAAGCAAACTCCTTAAATTATTTATGATTTCCCCCTTTCAAAAATTAGATTGTAGGATACTGTATATAATGTTTCTTAAAAATCAACGTGAATGGGTTGGTGACTATTTTCCTGTGTTTTGGTGTATTTTTGTAATGTTCTTTATTTCACTTTAGTATCGGTATATAAACAGATGAAAAATATCCCAGATCTCTTTCATCGGAAACAATCTTGGCCTCTGGGTATTTGAATCTTTTTAATACCCTATATCAATTAATCTTATAAATCAAATTTGAACACATCATTTGACTAGATTATGAGCCTTACGTGCGGTTTGACGACCCCGGTCTAATTTTATTTACATGCGCTCGCACTAACAGTAGCAACGTCACCATATTAATAAGGATAAATTTCAACTTAATTGAATTGCTTGTGAATTTTGAACAGATAGAAAATAAAAAGGAAAGTTTAAAACTTACATTTCACATCACAAGCTAAACCTGAATACGGTTCTTTGCATCCTCTGGAGCAGCTTCCGTCATACCTGCTGCAGGTCTCGTTACCGACACAGTGACCACTACATTTGTATTGGCAGTTTATCCCAAAAGAACCCTCTGAACAGGCTATAATTGATTTGAAAAAAAAAGTTTTACATTAAATGTCTGTACGAACCTGTTGTCGTTGAAAAAAAAATAGAAAGACAAAATTTAGTTTAAAATAAAATAAAATAAAATAAAATAAATTAAATCACTGTATTAGAAAGCGCTCTTGGCTAAATTAACAGTTTCTTTAAACTAATTATTTTGTTTTACATTCATTTTATCAAAAATATAACTCTTGTTTCATTGATATTTTAGTTTAGTTTTAATCATAAAATTTCCTATTCCTCAAGGTGAAATTAAGTCATCTCATACCTGTTGCGCAGGACGGGGAGCCTTTAAAACCAGGCATACATCTACATTTGCCATCAGCATATCCACAGATGTCAATGCAGTAAGGAGAGCATACATTAGAACAATTGAAACCAAACGAGCCATCTGGGCAAACTGAAAATAAGTACTGAAAATAAACGTCTATTAATAAACTAGAAATAATTGCAAATTCTCAAAACCTATTCTATAGCAAATCATTTAATTGCCTAATTTGGTAGAATATTTAACCAGTTGCAAAAAAAAAAAAAAAAAAGGTAAGGGATTCAAAACTTAAAAAAAGAATTGACGAAATTATCGCAAATAATGCTTTATTTTGCCCATACTCCTTTCTTTTAATTTATATATAATCATTTCGAAAGAAGGAATAGATTTTTTCTGATTATATATAAAAATATTTTTAATGCAATAGTTACAAAATGCCTTAACTTTTCATAGTCTGCTTTTTAGGTTTCATTTCAATTTGTTCCTTTTCATGGCATTGTAATATTTGGTAACATTTAAAATCATCTTTTTTTAAAGCTTGAAATCCTCTAATGATCCGTGTTGTTGAATTAGAACTAGGAAATTAAATCATCTTTCCTCAATCTTATGCATATTCTTTTAAATCATTTGTATCCAAAAATCGAGGGGAGGGTATTTTACATGTATTACCTACTGAATTTTTAATTACAGATTTAAGAACATACTGCTCTTGAATTTACCATCCATATATGTCTATTTGCATAGATCAATGTAATAAAAAAGAATATTACATTTTTAGTACGTACTTGTGCCACATCGTGACCCGTTATATCCAGGAGCACAACCGTTCATACATTCACCATTAAAGGGACTACATGTTTCATTGTATTGGCAATTACTACTGCAGAGTTTTAAACAATCTTCTCCAAATGTTCCAGCAGAACAAACTTTAATAGAAAAATGTAACACTGCAATGCAACTTGTTTCATCATATTACTTTCAAAAAAGAAGGTAACTATTGTTTGCAAATGACTAGAATGTCTATATTTAAGGAATGATAATAACTAATAATAATAATACATGTAGTAATACGTACTGAAATAACCTGGGTTGGGTCAGTTAATGCTTTATGAAATGCGAGGCAGTTTATAAAAAAAATACTGAAACTGTTCCAGGCCAGGCTATAAAAGTACAACTTTGTTATCAAATTCACTTCTTATGATTCTATTTTTCTTCAGAAATAGGACAAATTTTCCCTCAAAAATGTTTTTTAATGAATCTTAATTTTAAAGTAATGTCAAGAGGATTGATGCCTTACTGGCGTAACTCATTGTCAAGTAGACAATAGTATACAATTATTTTTCTATCCAATCAAACAGCAACTTAACTGAAAATATAATTTGAACAGCAGTTTTAGCTTACGTTCAGTACAGCCTTTTCCAATATACCCAGGGTAACATCCAACGTCACAGTGTCCAGTTTCTTTGTTACATTGATAATTATTCTTGCAATTGCCACTGCAGTTAAATGCACAGTCTGGACCATATTTTCCATCATCACATGCTTTAAGAAGAATTCCGAGCAGAAAATTTATTAAATGTAAAGATTGTAGAATTAATGTTTTATCAAAATTAATTTCTTAATGCATCTATCTCTCTCTCTCTCTCTCTCTCTCTCTCTCTCTCTGATATAGTTTTTCGTTGGCATTTGTTCTTGTTTGTCTATGTGAAATTTATTTTCCACGATTTTCGTCCTTTGATTCTGAATTTTCCAAAATACTACTTATAATTTAGTAAGAGATTAGTTCATTCTTACATATCTCACAATATTTTCCAGTCCATCCTGAAGCACATCCCTTGTCACAATAACCGGTCACGTGATTACAAGAAATTCCTTCCAAACAGTGGCCAGAACAATTATGTCTACAGTTCAGACCAAATGTCTCATGCGTACATTCTGAAAGAAATAAAAGTTAAATATAATGGAAAAAAATTACGACCTTTGACTTACCATGGCCAATAGTTTATTGAAAAAAATAATTGATAATGAACAAGGCATGGTTTTAAAAGGGAATCTGGGCCTGTATTTTTTTTTAAATATCAAAGAAATAAAAATTCATGCTTTCTGAGTCGTTGAAATCCCAAGTACATTGTATTAAAACATGCAAAAATTATTATTTTTCTAATATGATCTTAAGTGACAAAAACTGTAAAGATATGTAAGAACTGTTGCTAATAGGTAGAGTTTTGAACATTAAAAGTTGGAAAGTTCATGGAAAGTTAACCATTTCTTTATATTTTTGATATATAATAGTTACATAATTTGCAAACAAAATAGGTTCAATTAAGGCATTCCTTTCTTATATCATCTTTTCTCTAGCAAAAAAAAATACCTATATCACAGAATTCACCAGTCCAACCTGGGTTGCAGAAATGACAAGATCCATTAACAATATCACAACTTTTTTGCTGACAATTTTTAGGGCATTTCAACTCACATTTTTCTCCATACATGTCTAATCTGGCACAGCCTTTTTTTGAAAAAAAAATGTGGTTCATATTTGTCCCCAAAGCATAAAGCTTCATAAAGAATCTTTTTAAATAAATGCTTTCGAATATATTGGCTTAAATTTTAGTTGGCCATTACCTAGGACAATAAATTCACAAAGCTCTGTATAAGACAAATTTTCATATCCTTCAGGATATGTAATTCCTCCGAGTCTCTCGTTGTAGAAGAAAACATAGCGAGCATGTCCAATGCAGGTTGTACTGAACTCTAAGGTGGGTATTTCGTCATTATTTTTGTAACACAAAGTACCCTCTTTTATATTTGTGGAATTGGAAAGATAGAGAGAAAATCCAGCAAAACGACCCCTCTGCCTTGATTCTAAGAATGAACAGTGAATATTATGCATAACAACATTGAAATTCATTTCTATTTTGTCATTTTTAAATTAGATATGTGTGTCGTTTAAACATTATAAATACTATTGAGTAATACAATGTACTTTTATTCACCTATGCATTCAAGTGTCAGTAAAATATATGGAGGCAACGAACAGTAAAAAGTGTTTTCGGACTATCAAGAGAGGAATTGAGGTTAAATATTTTAAATGTTATACATGTTTTCTCTCTGTGACTGAGTAGAATCGGTTTCCTTTGTTTGTATTGTACATAAAAGAAAACGTTATTTCATAAAATATTTATTAAAAAAAAAAAACATTAATGTAATACTGTATTTGTACATTACTCGAAAATGCTTGCATTTAAGGCCTAATATGCAATGAAATAATGAAAACTAAAACATGTACATGTACATACCCCAACCTTCGTAAGTTTTGAAGATGATCGACACTTCATAGATATTGTACACATCGCCTAAATCTACATACCACCAAACTGTATTGGTATGTCCTGGACTAATAGGTTCCGTTCTTGTACAAGTATTATTGAGCCTATCCACTGCATTAGGTGCACCGTATACAGAGTTACATATTGTAGTTTTACAACCAATGTGCGTTGTGCTTTGTGCTGTATATTTTTTAAAAGACAGATCCTCTTGGAAAAAAAGTTTTTATAAAAAAAGTCGTATTAGGGTACAATTTATTATCATTTTATCATTTTAAATCTTAAAAATGATAGGAGTAGACATTCTTCAACATTACATGTATTTTTTTCATTCTCAAAATGATAAGAAAAAAAAAGTAGTCCTCTATTGTGGTTTACTTTTTCACAAATTTTACTCTACATAATTTTGATAATGAAATAATTGTATTGAACATACCGAAACTAAAAATCTGCACAAGTTGGCTAGCCAGTACAAATATCGTTGTTTTCATGTTGAAATATTATATACACAAGCTCACAATGACATCAATATCTTCTTCTTACTTAAGTAAAATAATTATCCAGGAAGTTTTTATAGAGTCGAAAATGCATTGTCAGATTACTTTTCGTTGAAATTGGATACATAGATTATATAATATACAGTAAAAGATACGGTTCGATTGCTGACAAGTACTAGTACATTGTAAAGACTCTGTAAGGCTCATGTTCACGCATTCTCAGTTTATAGTCTCAATTCGCTTTAAATAATGTACCGCGTTTTAAGTAACATAATATTTCAAATAAATTTTATTTTCTGCCACCCATATGAACCATTGCTGGTTGCTGATTAAAATGCAACAATTGTTTGTTGTAGTTTGAATGATTGTCTTAGGAGAAAATCACATTTTAGAGCAGAAATCGATATTTACGTTACTGTCGCCGATCATCGTGTAGTTTTTATTTTAAACCAAAAAGAAGTTTTTTTTTCATTTAGGTATCTTTTTCTTAGTAAGATTGTCCTACATTTGAGTTATATTTTCTGAATATCACCCCCTTCAAACATATGCGTGTCACAAATTTTTAAAAGTTTTGATATATTTATCAAATTTTGATGTCACCGCAGAATTATTACTTTTCTATTTGGAAATTCAAAAGGACTGGGAGGATTGATAAACTGACTCAGTAGGACTAAGTTGTAACTTTTTAACATCATGAACACCCTTTCTATTGCATGGAATGGTAAAAAGGACACTCTTTATCTGTATTTATGAACAATAGCCCCCCTTTTCTTATAAGTCCAATGGTTAAAAATTCAACGATATTTACGTGTTAGTATTTATTCACAAATTAAGTAAGAGAACTACACTGTTCCCTATGGGTCAAATTGCCTTACACTCAAGCACTAGAATATGCCTTTAATTAACAGTGGAATAATTGAACAAGGGCATTAAAAGTTACGATAAATCTCAGAAAGATATTTACGTTACCGATATTTACGTTACCCATATTTACGTTACCATGTTTTAAAGTAAATAAGTATTAATTTCCAAAGCTGTTTGAACAGATTTGCGAGTGAATCTTTATGATGTAAATACTAAGAACATGAAGAAATATAAACTCTTTTTTAAAATGTCATTTTTTCTGTAAAAAGAGTCCAGAAATGCAAATTGAAGAGCACATGCAAAGGTGAACATTTTTCACTCAATATCTTGTGCATCCGTGTGATTTGAAAATTTAATTAACAATATTATTCACAAGTAGAATTGTGGATAAATGATCGAATGTTTTCATTTTGAGCAATTGGTTAATATTGCATTGTTTTAAGTGTAATGCACGTTATCATTCGGAACATAAATCTGAAACAAAACTTTCTTCAAGTCTGTATTTTGCTGTTTGTTTGAAATGATAGTGTATCGTCAACTTAAAAAAAATGGTTATATACACCTGAATTGTATACCAAGCTTAACATTTTGAAGAAAAAAAATCATTTTTGTAGGAAATATAATTCCAGAAAATAGGCGCTGCGTTGCATGCAGTGGGGGGGGGGGGGTTATTCTACATCGGGTAAAAAAAGAGGGTGTTGGGTGTCAAGAAACTGCATGGTTGAAATTGAATCCATTTCCATTTTTGTTGCTTTGCAAGAAACACAAATATTAACATGTATAAAATTGTGCACTTAATTTTCCCATTGGAATTGTTGCTTAGACATATAACGTATGCGTCTATGCTTTAATGGTACTGAAAATTCAATTTACGTTATATGAACATAGAATGTATATTGCTTTATAGAGCACATGTGATATGCAACTTAATTATTGAAAAACCTTTTAAGGGTGGTGGGCGATCTTTGTTTAATTTTTGAGATTTGACGATAAAGTTTTCACAAACAATTAAACATTTCAGACATGTAGCAACAGAGGGGAGGGGGGGGGGAAGAGCAGCCCCCCCCCCTTGCCCCCCCCCCCCACTTTTTTCTCCAACCTTACTTCAGCTATGGTAAATGTTCAGTGAAAGTTCGCCTCCCCTCCCCCTCTTGGATTTTCGACTTTGTGCAAGTTTTCTCACCCCCCCCCTTTTTTTTTGCCTTGTCAACTTTGCAGGTAAGTAAAAAAAATTCTCTGGCTGCCCCCCCCCCACTTTAAAAAACGATGCTACGTGGCTGCCTTTGAAATAATCAACAGATAAAATGGTGGAAGGGGGGAGTTATGAATTACATGAGTCCTCTATAGATAAATCATAACTTGAATTTTCATTTCAACCCTTTGTAAAGAGCGTATATATAGATAAGAAAATTCATAAAATTCAATAATTTGAAATAATATAATCATTTTTTCCCCGAACATACTTTTATTTTTGTATGATATCTATGTGCGATATTTACGTGATATTTAACAAACACTTCGTAATCAGGTAATGGCGAAATATTTAACCTTCTTATATTCTAAATAATGTGCGTTTTTCTGAGCAGATTAATAAAGAATCAATTAATGTAGCATTTTAGGGAATATTGTCATTATTAAGCTTATCATCGGATCTGATAAAAACTTGTTAAAATAAAAAGAAAATAATTTCATTTAAATGAAAATTATGTCTGTTTTGTTTTTACTAATACTTGAATCAAAGATTCTACACCCCTTTTTACAAATGTGCTTAAGGCCAGATAAAATTAATCTTTAGATTCTCATCCCCGCCCGCCCCCTCTCAAAGTCTCCCGCCCCGGCGTTTTTTATCTTGATTTTTGAGTGTTAATAAAGGCATTTTCATGTATTTTTATTCAGTAAGAATTTGGGTGAAGTTTAAGAGTTATCTCCCGTCTGTATTAAAAGTCGCGTGTCGCTATTTATAGCAAAAGAGCCATGTGAAGAATGGAGAAAAATCGGCAATAAAAGCAGTTTAAATATGTCAGGAAAAGATTATTTGTCAGTATAGAGAAGGCAGAGAAAAAATAATAGCATAAATACATCTAGATACCATCACTGGCATGAGCAAGTTTTTTAAGATTTTTTAAAACTAAGTATAAAAATAGACATGGAAAATGACACATCAAGTTTTAACGATCTCCAACTGTGTGTGATTTTGATTTGAAAAAAAAAAATAAAACAGACTTTAGAGAATGTTTAGTGCTAAGAAAATGTTAAATCGTAAAACTGTTCAGGCCTAGGTTTTTTCGGTAGGATATTCTATTAGAATATTTCATAGATTTTGTAAATATGACCTATGTTATTGTCAAACATGTCAAGTCTCTAGAACGATCCAATTTTTGAGGAAGGTGGAAGTCTATGATATTTTACAGAAAACAGAGGGATTTGAAGGTAAAAACTCAAGGGTATTTAGGGAAAGGCCGATGAGAAGTCATGCATACTCAATTTATTGGTATCAGAACCCCACCTCATTTTGTTCTGCATGTACCGTATATGTGTACTTGATCATTTGTTTATTGACAATAAATATCTAATAATTTAAGGAAGAATTTTTTTTTTAAATATTTAAAAGAATATGAAAAAAATAAAATATATTCATATTGGCATTAACATAATGAAAAAAATGTGTACGAAGATTCCATGTTTTGTTGATACTTACAATTTAACAATTATTGAAAATAAAAAATAAAATCCGCCCACCCGCCCCAATTTTTTAGCAAATTAGGATGAGAATCTAAAGATTAATTTTACCTGGCCTAAACGGTTTCATAAATGATTATAGTTAACAAAATTTGATGTGTATTATATTGATTTTGTATTTAAAAAAAAATTCTTTCGTTTCCAAATATGGCTTTTCAATATCACGTAAATATCTTGGTGTAAAATTAGCCCTCCAACCGCTTTTATTTCGAAGGAGATCAACAAAACACAGCATGAAGTATGTAAATCAAATTGCGATTTTTAATAACTATACACTTTCATGTTTCAAATGACGTATAAAAGTGTTAATTTCAGTTCACTAATTTTTTTGACTTTTCCCAAGATCGAATTGGTACTATAAATTGAGAATGCGTGTATTATGCCCCAATTTAAATTTAAATATTCTCAAAAACCTTTGAAACTGATTCAAATATTAATTGCGTTTATGACTGCTATAGACCAGTAAAGAATGTGGCATAAGGGAGAACCATTCTGGGAATATGAAGGCATTGATTTGATACAATTTTCTATTTTAAACCGAAAAGCCTCAAAATGGCCAATATTAATAGAAATTTTCCTTTTAAAAAAAATATGTTCAATCAAAACAAGTCATATTTGGTAAATGAATCTTTTTAAGTTGATGAATAACATTATAATTTTAATCTTAAATAATGATGAATAAGAAAGTTGAAAAATTAAGAATATCCAAATATGTTGATATTCTTTACATTTTCTTTTATTTATTTTTATTTGGTAATGCCAAGATGTTTGTAGAGCAAGTGGTTCTCAAATTATTCAGTTTACATTTTTCTCCTCGTGTCCAAGTTGCCTAGCTTGGTGATTACAAAGAAAGTAAGGGCCATCTATTGTCTTTAGAAAAGAAGTTTGTTGTTTGAGAATTTTTTTCACTGAACGAAGGACGAGAAGAATCATATCCATGCAAAAGGGGGATAATTCTTAATATTGAAATAACTGCCCTGACGTACTTAGATACTGAGCTGACATCTCATTCTGATGTTGATGTCTGTGAAGCGATGGATTTTCAAGAAATATTTTTTTTAATCTAATATATTCCATTGACCTTTTCCCTTGTGACCTCCTATCTACTCTTTAGTGG